TTTTTTTTTTTTTTTTTTTTTTTTTTTTTTTTTTTTTTTTTTTTTTTTTTTTTTTTGGCTTCAAGTGTTCACATGCTACTTATCAAGGTGGGGCGCGCTCGAGAGCTGAACAGTCACTGATGGGTCGTTTTGAAGCGTCAATTTGTTTTTATATTTTTAAGTCTTTTGTATTTTGATTCATAATTGTATCACAAACCCATTCTCTGTTTTTTATAAATTTGAATAGTGTCGTTTTGTAATATGATTTCGTTTGGTACTTAATTGTGGTATTGTTTGACTTTCGACACCTCAAAAATCAAGTCTCGACATGAATTAAGGGATTTTTTTTTTCGGTAAGCTTAAATAAATGGTTATAATATTTCTTATATATATATATGAAATAAAAAGTTACACAATATTTAAATTGACAAATAAATACTAAAAATATCTTTTAATTATTATTTAGTTTATATATTATTGATTTCAAATGCCATATTATATAATAGAAGTATCAATTCACTTGAATCTATGAACACGAACATGAACATGTAAATGTATATAATTTAATATATTGGGTCAAAAATAATGTTATTCCGAAAAAGAAAAAGAGCGAGAAACCCCAATAGTCAATCAAAATTGTATTTGGATCCTCCGATCATTGCAGAGCAAAGATCATTCGGTGGATTTAAAGACGAAGGCGTCTCTTGAGAGTTCGAGAATCGAAAATGGAGATAGGAGATTTTGCAGCCATTTTTGGGGAACCCAAGGTGGAGTGGATAAACAGGGCTTCGCTTACTTCGCACCCATTTTTGTTCCATGTTCATACTCCTAATCCCTCGCATCTTAGATTTTGTGTTACTGATTTCCATTCAAACACTTGGGAATCCACCAAATCGACTCTCCAGCTTCACGACATGGTGGGCTTCTTTAATTCTCTCTGTACGTTCTCTCTTTCTTACTTCCTTCTTTGATTTCTACTCATTTTTTGTTGTGGTTTCTTAGAATTGATTGGTGCTCAGACCCCTAGTTTGTGTTAATTTGCATTTGTTCAGAGAGATGAGATTGGAATTGGAGGGGCTATGTCAGAATTTGTTGATTATATCATTACTTCCCTGAAATTTGGAGATGTAAGGCTTAGGTTGGAAGAACAATCGGTGGATGATGGTATTCTTCTTAGAATTATGATTGCTTCAAGTATTCTTAACCATTCAAATATGTTTTGAAAGTTGAAACCCCCTTTTTTCCATTTTGTTTTGCTTCTAGGTGCAGCTTGTGCCAAATTATGTGCTCAGAAATCTAAAGGAATGCCTGTTTTTTCCCTTTCTCTCACGAAACTCTTTGATTGTGCTGCTTCTGAAGCTATAGCAACTCTGTCCTTGGGGCTCTTCAACTCATTAAAAGCCAAGGAATGTTCACTTCTAAAAGGTTTTCATCGCTTATCTATAGACTGCCTATACTATAATCATATATAACAATAAATTTCTTTAATGAGATGGTATCTGAAAAAAGTTAGGAGGTTGTTATAAAAATATTGTGAGATCCCACGTTAGATGGGGAGGAGAACAATGAATTCTTTATAAGAGTGTGGAAACCTCTCCCTAGCATACACGTTTTAAAAACCTTGAGGGGAATTCCGGAAAGGAAAGCTCAAAGAGAACAATATCTGTTAGGGGTGGGCTTGAGCTGTTACAAATGGTATTAGAGCCAGACATGAGGCAATGTGCCAGCGAGGAGGCTAAGTCTCGAAGGGGGTGGACACGAGGCGATGTGTCAGCAAAGGTGCCGGGCCTCGAAAGGGGGTGCATTAGGGGGTCTCACAAGAATGGAACGAGTGCCAGCGAGGACGCTGGGTCCTGAAGGGGGGTGGATTGTGAGATCCCATCGATTGGAGAGGAGAACGAAACATTATTTATAAGGGTGGGCTTGGGCTGTTGCAAATATAGTGTTTAAGCATTTGGTATCTGACTTGCATTACCCTCAAAACTTGTCACAGCGTTCTTGAAAATAGTTTGGTATTTGAATCTCATTTTTTTGACTTTCATTGGTGATATTGAACTGGCTCAAATGCTACCATCAGAGAATTTCTTGGAAGACATTTAACTTGGAGATTACATTGTTTATATTCATATTATACACCAAACTATATAGTTTACACTGTTCTGTTTCTTCTTTGTTTTTCTTTTTTGGTTATGAATCTATATCTCTCACTTGTTTTGATAACTTTGGTAACATAGTTTGATGTCATTGACTTTCCTTTTGTATTAATTTTTTAGAACAAGAGCGCTCCCTTCAGTTGACGACCATGATATCAACCGAAAAGGTATATCAATCTACTTCACACACTGTAAATAGATAGTATATGGTGATGGGCACTTTTACTCTCGTGGGTACCTTTCTATTGTCTTGAAATACCAATAATCCCTCTTTAAATCATAATTGAAACGGTACTCTGGTCGGTATTGTTGTTGTTGCCTGTTTATTTGTTTCTATGTGTTGCATTATTTCTCTGACTTTGCATTTGAAACTTCATTGAATGAAGAATATGGATGCCCTTTTATCTGATTCAAGTCAGTGGGTAATTGATAGAATTAATTCTTATTGATACCAGAGGGGTACATGCCAAGGGAGGATTTCAGAGCTCTTATCTCTTCTAAAGCTTAAACGACGCTTAAGCCGAAAAGCTACCCCTAATCTATGTATATATATTCATGAAATGACTAGAACATCAATTGTAGAGCTCCAATAATAGAGATTCTTCTCGTTTCCTGCTGCTCTTATTCTCGTCCTACCGTATACATCAGTTAGCAGAGGCCTATTAGTGAACATGATGGTATTTCGACTTTTGAAGATAATGCTGTAACTTAGCCATTTTTCTGTTGAAAAGGCCATCATAATGTCAATATATTTCTTATCCACAACGAATTCCAAGTCGTGGGTCTCTCTATCTGGTACCGAACGTTCTTGTTTATATTTATTTTTACTTTTTGTTCATTTAAGGAAAAGTACGAAAGTATTCAAAGCCAACTCGGGCAATATACAAAGAAACAGAAGTTACAAAATATGAACGCCTCAAATTCTCCAGGTTTGTTCCTATGAAGAACCATCGAATTTATTTCATTATATATTTTTTACATGAACACTAATTGAATTTTCTTATGCTTCATAGACAAATCTATTGGTCATCATTATATTGGCTTGACAAAAACCACCAATCGTGCAGTGCCAGCACATCGCAGGTCGGTATCTCAAAGCTACATTTATCACATAACATATTATTTCCATTAGAAGTAGTTGTATTTAGCATTGTATTTGGGCAGGGCGAAAACAAGAGGTGCCCTTTTGCAAGACTCTGAAGATGACAATGGTAGGTACTTTGAGAAGTTGAATGTCTTTGTTCCACTGTGCATAGTTTGAGTCCTAGAAAGCTGCTCTAGCCAATCACCTGCGGTGTTGAGTTCCTGCAAAAGGCTTAAAATGGGTCGGGGATTCCATGTTTAAACCGGGGTCAGGGTCGAGAGGCTCATAGTTTTCCGAAATCGACAAACTTTTATGTCTTCCCAGGAAGATTTTTGTTTTTGTATTCTTTTCTTACAAATATATTTCTCTGTTTCTTATCAATTCTTTTTTCCATTTTTACTTTCAGAACAAGAGCATTCCCTTCGATCGACATCGGAGGATAAGGTAGATAAATAAGTTGTTGATTACTGTCACGTTATGCTCTTATAGACAGGTTTTTATCTTGTAGTACCTTGAAATTAGTAGCTTCGGGTTCTTTAGAGCGTATTTTTTGCTTATTAATTCTTCTCATACTTTCTAGATCTTGAATTTATTTTCGAAAATGTCAGGAAAAGGAAAAAGAGTTACAAAATACAAATGCCTCAGCCAATGTAGATGGGTTTCACAAGTCTCCTGGTATGCTTTCTATTATGAATTTAACTATTGCTTTGTATTTATAAGTTGCGTAGGGAAGTGATTCAAGCATTTGGTAATTAGATTCATTGATGTTGTTTGAGTGTATAAAAGGTTTTAAATTTTGAGCTTATTTTTTTAACATAATCGACCATTAAAATGTCTCATTCTTAGCGGACAAACCTGTTATTCATGATATCGGCTCGACTAAAGTCACCAATCGTGTCATGCCAGCACATCGCAGGTCAGTTTCTACACTAAAATTGACCCGATTTTGTTCGTTATTGTTTGTCAAAACTAGTAAACATACTCTAGCATTGTGTACTTGGGCAGGGGACGAACAAGAGGTGCCCTTCTGCAAGATGATGAAAATGACAATGACAGGTAAAACCCGACATTTGTGATGACGAATAACCAGTTTTCTGCATAATTTTAATCGTAGTTTCAATACCGAGGAGGCAACGAAGTAATACCGATGAGCGATCGGTTTCATCTTTCCCAGTAAGGTTTAATTTTTCTGTCTATACCTATGACGAAAGAGCTTGTGCAATCCAGATATTTGGTTCTTGTACATATTTATTTGCATTCGTACTAATCATAACGTGGAAATATCTTGATGCACGTGACATACAAAATACATGAGTTCTCCATAGCTTTAAATCATGACATTTATTTATGGTGCATATATCTCCATTCTTTTCATGACATAGCGTTCTTATGAGACATACATACTTAGTACTTGTTGTAACTTTCATGAATAACGTACACGACTGATTAGTATCTCATAGGCATAGATTCAACATGTTAATATGGTTTATATGGAGTGACATATGAAGGTTTCATGCATCACACAACATCGATAACATAAAATAATTCCATAACATAGCATAATTGTATCATAGTATGACTTCTATCATAACGTAACTTGTATCACAACATAGCATATAACATAAACATAGCATAGCACACGTCAAATAGTCATAAAATACGACACGTGCAGGGGCCACAGAGCATGTGTCATTCATAAGACAAACAAGTCATCATAAAACACGACATGTGTAGGAGCCACAGAGCATGCGTAGTTCATATGACAAACAAGTCATCAAAACTTAAAACCGTTCCATAGAATCTAATTTCACCCAAGGAGCCCTACCATCCTAAATTAAAATTTTGTGGTTATACTAACCTTTATTGCCTTTGAAAGTGTCAAAAACGTCTGTCGAAGAGTAAAAAATGGTAGAAAAAATTTAAACGTATTAGAGGCAAGTCGGATAAGATGATAGAGTCGTCAGGAAATGTGTTTTTCAGCTAGCTCCGAACTGCCTAAGTGGGATGAAACGGAGCAATTTTTGTGACTGAGTAAGCCAAGAAACCTCTTTTTTATATTGGAGTCAAACTTTCCACTTTCTTATTCTAATAAATTTGGGACAACGTTTTTTTTTTTTTGTCCCTTTCTAATGTTTGACTGTTACCTATCTGGTTCCTCTAGGGGTTAGGGGTTAATCTTGGAGCATTAAACTTTAGTTATTTATTTATTTATTTATCATAACTTATGATCCAGAGGTGTTTGGTTTACTAGAAACGTCCTACCATGATAATGGTGACCATTCTCACTCTAGTGCGCTATGTTTAACTTAGTTTAGTTACTTGATTCTTAGTTCCTTAACTCAAGTAGAGTTGCACACAAATCTTCTTATATAGCGGATTGCATTTAGTTCTCATCGTAGAGGCATTTTAGTCTTTTGGCACGAAACCTGATTTAGATACTTTAACATGAATACACTATCTGTATAAGCTAATCATGCTTGTATTCTAGTATATCCTAATCATGCTTGTGTTCGTTAGCGCTTAAGTCGGCCACTATGTATTTGATGTTCCAAATTTTCTGAAACTCCTCCCGTTAGGTTCTAATTCAAGTCAAAAAAAAAAAATAATAAAAAAAAAAATAATAATAATAATTTACTAGCAATCCATGAAAATTAAAATGATATAATTTAATCAACGGATGAAATATAAAAAATGGTCTTCTAATTTTGACTCTCATTTTCTTTTTCCTAATGAAATATAATAACTTTAAAATAAAAAAGAAGAGGTCGGATATGTTCTTACTTGGTCTGGAGTAAATTGTCCATTTTTGTATATAAGAACTCTTCGTGATATAATTTAGTGTAATTCTACTTATGACAACTACTCACTTATGTAAACGGGAGTTGATTAGTTTAGTACGATATATGGTCCCTTGGTTTCATGTACCTAACCCGATAGAAGGATACAAAATATTTCAGCTTTTTCTAAAATGTTTTTAGGAAAGGATAAGATTAAGACTATGATGTGAGGGTGTGTTTGTACCCATGACATGAGCGAGCGTCAAACATGTTTTGTTTTTACCTTAGTATTTTATCTTTCTTTACTCGAAAATTTCTTAGACATCTATTTTCATTAAACTACAAATTCACATTGATGACGAAGTTGTGTGTTATTTCAATTAAAAAAATTCTTTGATTTACTTTTAAATTCGTACCAGCAACATGATTCTTTTTTTTTTTTTTTTTTTTTTTT